TTTATTTGATATAAAGTATGTCATAGAAAAGACACAAGCCAGAATAAGTAATGCTTGTAAAGGTATCTCTCTAAGATTTTTATTAATTATATTTTATATAAGAATATAAAATAATATTTTTAGATGAAATCCAAAAGTTTTAAAATGAGAACATATTCAACTAGCCATTGCGCTTGGAATAAATTAAGGATTTAATTTAAAAATTACAAGAAAATATTCACATAATTCCGATAAAAGAATGAACAATCGATTTCTTGAGATAAATAATGTAACATGTAACACATGCTCATTAAACGCAAACATAAGGAAAACATTGCATGTCGTAGAAATTGTTAGCTAGTGAAGGATATTAGAAGCAAAAAATAATAATATGGTACATGAATTAGTAAATCTTGTATAGACCATATATATGCGCGATCTCGCACACTAAACCTGTACACAGCGGTGCTAGGCACTACTCTAGCCGACCATCGAATCATAGCACTAGCAGTTGTAAATACTAGGAACAATTATGACAACACACGGGCGAATAAGAAATACATCACTCGATACGACAAAAACATACTTATAAACATTTTTAAAACAATAGATTGGAAACCACTAAAACAAATAATGAATCCTCATAAAATATATGAACTAATAGTAAATAATATAAAAAGATGTTATAATGAATCTCAAATAAAAGTTAAAATATCTAAAAACATAGAAAAAAATAATAATAATTGGATTAATAATAAAATTATAAAAGCTTGTAAATATAGGGACAAACTATTTAAAAAATGGATACGTGACACTTCAAACATGTTATTAAAACAACGATATAATCGTGCTAGAAATTATGCGAATAAACTAATTAACACAAGTAAAAATAAAATAATTAAAGAAAAGCTACAAAATTCTAATAACAATCCTAGAGAACTTTGGAAATTATTGAATGAAATAACGGGTAGAGCTAAAGTTATTGCTGATCACATAATTTTAAATGCTTTTTCTAACAATAGCAATACCATCAAAAATATAGCAAATAGTTTTGCTACAACCTTCTCTAATAGTGTCGAGAATACTATTCAAAAATGTAAAGTACAAGATAAGAATTCCTATGCTACTTCATCCAACGTAACTTTGAGGTACCAACCAGTGAACTCCAAAATAATTTTAAATGAAATCAAACCACTAAGTAACCATAAAGCACCAGGTATAGATGGCATTAGACCACAGGATTTAAAAACAATAGCTACCGATATAGCAGACATAATTGCTCATTTCATTAATGCATCAGTAAAACAGGGCGCTTACCATCATGACCTAAAGACGGGTATAGTAAGGCCAATTCATTAGAAAGGCAGCCAAACAGACTGTAATAATTATCGTCCAATAACAATACTTTCTGCTATAGACAAAATAGTGGAAAAGTCTATTTCTAAACAAATACACGCATTTTACAAGAAAAATAACATAATTACTGACAAGCAATTTGGATTTCAATCAGGTAAAAGTGCCACACAATTACTTTCTACATTTACTGATAAAGTTTACAGCCATCTAGACAATAAAGAACACGTTATAATTATATTTATTGACTATAGTAAAGCCTTTGATACTCTTAGACATAAAACCCTGATTGAAAAACTAAATGATTGTGGAATACGAGGCCCTCTTAATGAATGGTGTAAAAATTATATCAAAGATAGGTCTTACGTGGTTAAAATTGGGGATGAAACTAGTCAGAAGGTTACGGTCAAAGAAGGCACGGCTCAGGGCTCAGTACTTGGTCCTCTCCACTACATAACCTACATTAATGATGCGATTAATGTGATAAGCAATTGTGAGATATACCAGTTCGCAGATGACACATGTCTTGTATCTGCAAACAAGGACATAAACACGGCTTTAACTAACATTCAGACGGACTTTACATCACTCTCTAAATGGTCACATAACGTAGGACTTACGTTAAATGCAGAAAAAACTAAACTAATGTACGTAAGCTCTAGTCAAAACCGTAGCAACATGATTCCAAAAGTTGTAGCACACAGTCATAAATGTCTCCATAATAACGATTATCAACATTGTAATTGCGAAATAATAGAAGTTGTAAGTAAACATAAATATCTAGGATTGCTCATTGATGACAGATTTAAATGGACCGATCATATTAACTTAGTATGTAACAAACTACGTGCTATGTTGGCCAAATTTAGCATAATAAAACAAAAAAATTCCATACTCCACTATCTTAAGATTAGACAAAGCTCTCGGAGAGACAACTATATATTACGGCCTCAATAGTTATGGAAGAACGTTTAAATCACATCTTGATCCTATATATGATTTACAGTTACGTATTATTAAAACGATAGTTCCCATAAAACTGAGGTTTAAATGTGACAATACTAACGAATTATTTCATAAAACGAACATTCTACCAATCCATGACAAGGTCAAGTACATACTACTTAAAGAAAATTTGTTTAATAATGCGTATCTAAATATTGTTCAACATAAAAAACATACACGTAGCGCCTCTAAAATTAAGTACACCATACCAGGATACAATAATCTTTATGGCAAACAAATGCTAAAATATCAAGTACCTAAATTGACGAATGATCTACCAGATAGTTTAAAAAGAGAATTGAAGGAATGTAATTTAAAATACAAATTAAAAAAATATTTTTTAAATAAACTCAAATAAAGAATCTAAAATATAAATAACAATAATTAATTGAAAGAAATATTGTAAGAATATGAACCTAAGTGTTTACATTGTTTGTCTACATTATACCTGCTTGTTATATTTTTTAATTACATGTTAAAACTGAACAATGGATAAAGTGATAACGCACGACAAAAGTGCAATACTGAAATTATGTATGTATATTAAAAAAATAATAATAAGGTTACATTTACCTTGTATATGTTACTTATTTGTTAGATTATGCACCTTATATTGTTTTTATATATTTAGTTAATTTTATTACTCTATTTTGTCATACCTGTATCATTATATTATAAGTTTGATGTCTTTTTTGTTTATTGTTTAATACACTAAGTACAAAATATAAATGTATTGAGATGTCAATGTAATTGTGTGTTAACGACAATGAATTCCAGTGTACGGAAAAACCAATACTGGTTTATGAGACACTGAAAACTTAGATATAAATGTAAAAATACCAACATAATTGTAATAAATAAAAAATAAAAAAATAAAATGAAGTATTGTTTTTTTTAGTAACGTAAAAATGATTTTATTATTTCACCGATCTTTCGTATAAATAATTCTCTGTTCTCATTAATAAATGGGTAACATAAAAAAAAATACCTGCCGAGATTTTAACAATTGGTATAGAAGGCTACAAAAAGGACCAATCACCATTCAGTTGTTGGAAAGTCAAACAATTAAGATGCATGTAACTAAAACTGTAATTAAAACACCACGGAGGCACCATATTCAGTCATTATAGAAAAATCAGCAATTAAAGAAGTAATAGAAACAAAAATACTCAATAAATGTTATTAGATATTATACCAACTTCCTTCTTTCAAAAATAAAACGTGTTTGTAATTTTTAATCGGATATTTTATTAATGAGTTGAGTTGCTAATATTTATAAAAAAATATATATGTATTTTGAAAATGTAATATATTTTTGTACATTAAACTGATGTATACAATATTTTTAAACAAGATTGTTCACGTTAGGCCAGGGCTTGAAAATTTTTATTAGAAAACACGACAAAAATCGCTTCTTTTCCTATTCGTTGACAAGTCAAACGCATTACTTTTGTTTTTCATAAATCTTCCCTACCCTTTTGGAATATTTGCACAAGTTATGTGAGTCATGTCAAAAGTGTAATCTGAGGGAACATACCGTCCTTCGTATTATATTGGACGTTTATTTTAAAACTTTGCTATGCCTATCACGTTTTTCCGTTGGAGGAAGTTGAATAATTTTGTTGGTATTATTTCGTTTCAAGGCTCAAAAGTATTTTATAAGACCGCTACAACGAATGCGTATAATATGAAAAAACTACCAATAATACTGCTAGCTACTAGCTACGTACTTTTCGAGAAAGTCAATATTTTTTTAATCACTCGTGTAACACCTAGAAGTGTAATAGATACTTTTAATTATTTTAACAATCTTTATCTCATGAAGTCAATAAACGTATGTACTAAGTAATATATTTGAAGGTGCAACAGCTTAGATAGTAATATAGATTAAATAAAAGAATTTCTTTAAATTTCAATTAAGTATTATGTATAATATGTGGAATATCAGTGTTATTAATTTAAATAGTTTTATATACAATGTTTTATTTACATATAAAAACGGATCTTAACTGAGCACCAATCGTAAAATTTTCGAGACAGTTAAAAGAAATATACTACAGATATTAATCCTTTACTGATCTAAATACAAAGAAAAAGAATATTAAGATAAATTTGAAAACTTTATTCAATAATAAATTAAAACTTATGTAACATAAAATAATTATATTCTAATACAGTATAACAACTTGTGTTACTGTTCGTTTTTATATTTAAAGTAATGAAAATACAAAATCATGAAACAAAAATAAATCATTTATAACATAATTATAAATAACAAATTTACCCATTTTGTTTTGAGATATGTACCAAAAATTTTGAAATCGGTAATGTATGTTAATAAAATTATCAAACGATGATTAAATAAGTCAATATGAAAAAATGATACTGTTGGGGATAGTGCAATACCGTGTAACCCTAGGATAATTCCGCGTATCTACATTGGAAGCAGATTATACATAAGAAGAAAGTTTAAGCTAAAATATTTTCTAAATTAACGACTATCAAGGTACTTTTTTCACAATTGGTTATAATTTAACACTAAATAATTACTAATTATTGTGAAAAAAATACTTTAAAAGTCGTTAATTTAGAAAATATTTCTGCGAAATTATCCAATGGTAGTTACGCGGAATTGCATTATCCCTGACGATATGCTGAATCGTTCAATAATCCAAAGCACAGAATAAAGCAACGCCACGCTTTATCCAATGAGATTGTGGCTTATGAGTCGCCAGTTCAATAGTCATTACATAGTTGGTCGAGTGTCCAGTGGTTGAGAGTGTCCCGGCTCTAACGAGTGTCTTGTATGTCGGACATTCGTATAAACCTTGCGCTAGACGGTGATTTTGTTCCGGTTTCATATATATGATTGCCATTTCTGGAATTGAATATTTTAAATATTTTATTTTTATCACCTCATTAACATGAATTATTGATAAAGTTTATAAGTAGTGGAGTTTTGAAATACCGACCAGTATGTAGCTCCTTAGGCCTGCTTTCTTCTAATGTCATATCACCAATATTAAATCTAGCACCTTCTAAAAATAGGCCTCGGACACAGCAACCATCCTCTGGTTTCTTCGCTGGCGGAGCGTTAAGAGCCTGGAGATATAACTTAGTTTATAATAGAATATGTAATAATTTTATTAACTGATTTGGCATTGAATAATATAGGAGTATATTTAGAATAAAGTTTTGGATCCCGAAGATACGAGTATAATTACTTATAGAATTATATGAAAGTAATTTGTTTTTATTCTCTTTTCTAATTCCTATCACTAATGTTATATTAGCAAGCGAAACTGTGGAAACTTAAACAAATTCTTTTAATTTAAACTGTATCATTATCGTTATTACGTTGTTTGTCTTACCTCAAAAGCGTAAGCGATGGTATCAATTGCAATAACATGTTTTCTAGCATAGTTTTGTAATGCACCAGTAAGGAATGCCTGGGGGAAGTAGAATCCAGAAATCCAAAACACCTTAGGAATCCCACCATCAGCCCACTGTTGCATAAATTGTACTCGGAGACATAAATCTTTCACCCAAGCCGCTGCGAAAAAGACAAAAATTAGTAATGAACCCTTTCTAAATTTATTAAGCTGCTTATTTTTTACCATTTTCTTTGTTGTGATAAAAAATCTAATACCTAGTGGTTTAAGCGAAGGATAAGCCTTAGCGCTCCACATATTTGGAACAGCGTTTTTAGCCAAACTTCCGGACATACTTTCTAGAGCTTCCGACATAACAACCAAACCTTTAAGCGCCTTTTGTAGGTCACTAGCAGAAAGAAAATATTAGTAAAAAAATAAACTGTTAATAGCGATTTCATTTATACACTTACTGAAGGGAACTGCTAATAACAGCCAAAAGCTTATTGTATCGGATGGCTTCTTGAATGAGTACTGTATTAAGAGACTCTTTATAAGACACGGGGTAGCTGTTAGGATAAAATATATATATTAAATTAACTTTTTTATATTATATTACATGCATTCATAAATATATAAGGGAATTACGTTGCAGCGATGTATTTAACGTCAAGCGTAGGAGGTAACACACTAAGAATATCTTTTGCAGCATTTTCTGTCATCTCTTCGGCTGTGAGATCTCCTTCGCCACTTACTTCTTTTGGTTGAAGATTGCTCAAGGTATCTGAAATATAAGTTACAAAATTCATACCCAGAGTTTCGTATAGTAATAATTTACAAGAGACGTTAATATTTCACTTTCACAGAACAAACGAGAGTGCAAAAATCATCGACTAGTTATAGTTCTGATTGGTCTATACTAATAAGGACTTTATACCTAGTTAGGGAATTATACCTAGTTAATCTTAGTAAATATATATAAACAGTCTATCCATTAGTAATATTCATATTTAAAATTACATATGACTTACTTATACAAGAGCTCGTCTCAGACATAGCGTAACTGATATTGGCGTTAGCGTGCAATCCGAATAACGAAGGGTCATCGTTCAGTGGTAAGGTGCGTATATAACGAGTGTAGTCATCAATCGTGGATGAAGATTGTTGCTGTTAAAACAATAATTATAACTCCAAACAAATTATACACTATAACGGTCTAGAAATATGAACAGAAACCGTTAGTTACTGAATTGGATGATATTATTATAGTTTTATTTAAAAGATATCCTCGAAATAATAATCCAACATGAGGAATTTATATACCTGTTTATAAGCACCACTCTCATCGAATATCCATCTATCATTGAGAACAGCAGTAGTGTAATAATCAGCCAACAAACACAATAGACACCGACGATCCCAATCATCAGTGACTCGTCCACCATAGTTAATATGACCCGCTGTATATGTTAACATCTGAATAAAATGATTTAAAATACCGATTACGCTGATTAGACACAAGTATGTTAACATTAAAATATATCCTATCTATTATAATAATATTCCAATTAATTCTTATCTATAATGCAAGCATTGTTTAAGTTATTGATTTCGTGAACCCTATTTCAATTAGAGACTTAGTAACGAAACTCAACGTCAGTCCTATTGTTCTCCCAGTATACCATACAACCCAAGAATACAAATAATAACAGTTACATAGTAATCTACTACTAATTTTAACAAACCCATTGGTTCTTCCATGTTAAGTTGTTAATAAAAAGCAGTCTTTTTCATATTAAAAGTATTAATTTACGGTAAAAATAATTAACGCACCCGCAATGGAACTTCATGGTATTCAGTCAAAAACATGTGAAGCTGAGAAATGCAAATACGAAGATCACCATCCGTGAATTCGTATGGTATATTAAAACCAAGAGGTCCAAATTTCCTTCTTTCTAGAACTACACCATGGAATAGGCATAGTGAAAATAGAAGCCACTGAAAATTACAAAAGTTTTGTTACTAATCATTCAACAGTCCTAAATACTGAAGAAATAAAATAGCTTCTTCATAAAATCAATTTAGAATATCTCATGTCTTTGTTTCGTAGTCATATAACAAATCTAATAAATAGATTCATTTTATATTTGTTTTTCTTATTATAAATAATATGGAGAACCTTAAAATTAGGAACTTTGGTGTCTGATGAATTAAAATATTCAAGAAAATCAGGGACTTGATTCATATATGCTTTTAATAAATTGGCTTTAATTCCCCTGGGTGGTTCCACTGTCATTTTATATCCTGAAAAAAATCATATATATTTTTAAAACCTTGACTTGTAATTAAATATGATAATAATAATTATTATAATGAGAATTATACATATATAACGTCTTATTTATATTTACAACTTTAAGTAAATAAGGTATAGTTTAAATACTTGTGTGTTGTATGGTTATAATTAACTTTATATACAAATAATATTTAAAATACCGTTCTGTAATAACGCCACAGGAAAGAAGGGTGAAGGTGTTGATGTGAGCCACAGCCGAAAGTCCTTATGAACTACTTCTGGGACTATTTGCTCCACATTTAACTCCAGGACTGGCATCCACGATGGAGACAAATGGCAATTCTGGAATATATTTATATATATATATACAGGTTCAAGTGATATCTAACGCAATCTATTTCATAGAAATAGATTTTGTAGCTCTACTGTACAAAAATAGCAGTGAATTAGCAAGATAACGTTATTTTCACATCTTTATTATGATACATAGAACGGAAATAATTAATAAATTTGTGAACTAAATTTAATTGTTTGAATTGTGATTGCAAAATTCGCTTAATTTTTTTTAATATTTATTGTGAAAAGTACTTTACCCATGTAATAAATTCTATGTGTATGATTAAAAAATATAAACATTACAATTGTAAGAAAAATGAAAATTTTTACCTGGAAAAATACCCAGTTACCAAAATCACAGCCAACTTTCATCATAGCTTCGGCTAGCGGTCCTTGACCTTGTCCTAACGAAATACTTTCAAATCTTTTGCCCATCTTCATTTTGTCGGCAAATTTCAATAGGTCTGAAAGATAAAATGCTCAAATAGTCGATAAATAGTTAAGTAAAATAAATTAAAGCACTGTTTACGATCCACAATGTAAACTGAAATGCTTAAAAATTGTATGAGGGCTTACAACAATAAAGTATTTTTTTAAATAATATACATATATAGCTAGTTTTAATTTTTCATAGAATTACTGCTTCATTATATATTCTTCAAACAATTTAACACCTTCCAAGTAAGCTCGAAGTAGGCTGACAAAAAGTAATATTTACCAGCAGCTGGATCAGTCCCGGTGGAGAGAACGAAAATTATAGGAGCGAGTGGATCAGACTCAGCGTATAGAGCTGCAAGATCTGCTGGCTGCGGTTCAACGAAACGGGCCCCAAGACCTGCTACTACGTAGTCCTGGACGAAGGAAAAAAGCAAAATAAATTTCAGGTCTTAGTTGTAGTTTCATGCTATATGTACAGCATTATGTGAATTTCTTTATTTCTAACATGAGTTAGGTCTCAAAGAAGACAAACAAGGTCTCTGACCACGTCAGAGGGATTAGAAAAGAAGTCATGAATTAGGGATGTACAATAATTATTATAAAATATACCTGAAGACCAGGAATCAATTTGTCAGGTCGTAAGCACTTCAGAACAAGTAGCTTCTGAAACGCATCTAGTTGGGAATCTAGTCCTTTTGGATACGGAAGTCTGGAACATCCAGACATATTCTATTTAGAAAAAACTTAAATTTGGTTAGTTAATAATATAATAAGATGATTTTACTTATGAGGATTCCACGCGTCATAATAATTTTTAAAGAATTTGGTTTGTTGCGGAAAGTCCATCACAAATTGATGCATCGTTGGCAATGTCGCCAACTGTAGCATATCCAACCACATCCGAGGAGATATCCACTTTGGTTCAGGGTTCTCAAGTTCCTTGTGTTGAACAAATATTAATTTATGTAACAATATTATTTTGGATAAAGCTAAAATTCTGACCAGTAAACTTGTTTTAAGTAAACGTGTTTTTATATATACTTTATGAGAAAGCACTTTATTGACTGCTGTAATTTTTATAGTATTATTTTAAATTCTAAATAGTATAATAGACACATATACGTATTTATATAAACATATAAAGATATAAACATACGTAATTCTTATTTAAGATACCTCTTCAATTTTTCCTCCGATTAATAAGAAATTAAATTCTTGGAATCTTATAACTCCCTTGTCCAACAAAATTCTAGCACAAAGCAAAAAAGCAAACAAAAGCTTATGTCTTTCGAATAAACTCCTGCATACGTTTTGGTATAACAGAAATGTGAAATGGTCAATAATGATTTCAACTCTTTCGATTATATCCTCTGTAAAATAATCCATGCAAAAATATTTTATAAATATAGACTAATTAAATGGTTAGTCGTATAGTAATATTTACAACCATTTGGTTCGGTTTCTGCCATACTCCTTACGAAGAGTTTTATGAACCATTCCAATGAATATTGATACATAGGATCAACATTCGCCATCCCAGACAAGCAGAAAAACAGAATTTGACCTCGATTAGCCACTGGCACGTAGCCCAAACGCGCTTCATCAATTTCAGCTGATGTCCGCTCCATATCTTCTACTTTTATCTAAAATAAATCGAAAGAATATTTTTAAAATGTAGTTAAGTATGTAGTATACAAATCCTTAACTGATAAAATTTATTTTCCTAAATAGTAAAGTCCGTTACGTATACGTTTTCAGACCCGTTCGTAATTTCAAAGTGTCTTTTTGGTTCTCATGAACAAAGAAAAGCATCTGATCTATTAGTATTTTAGTTTAAAATCTGCATACATACAATCAATATTTTGACACAGTAATTGAACGGAAATTGAAATTAATTTGACAGAATATTTATATAAATACCAAAATTTCAGCACTCTTGATTTTAATAGCCTCCAAAGTTAATATAAGAGGCAAATCATCTACTGGAGATCCTTCGCTGTTAGACAGGCCATACAAAATATCAGATTGCATTTCCGCTAATTGTGTTGCTAGCTGAGCTCGAGACACGATGAGTTGACCTCTTAATTCTTCCAAATCTGGTCGCTCTTGAGCCACTACTATAGATAATAATTGTTCTGCTAAACCACTAGTTTAGACAAAAAAGAAATTAGTAAATAGTCTTTGTTTGTTTAAATATACCGCATAGAGAATTTGTCAGAAGACTAATACTATAATTTGCTTACCTGGGCACTAAAGCAAAGTTAACAATTTGAACTTTGACCGAGACTTCAGGGGTATACCTTGGATTAGGTAACTTTGTTGTTATATATAAACGGAATCCCGCACAAAAAGGGATTAGAGAGTCCCCAAGTTTGAGAACTAGTTGCCCCGCTTGGCGGAAGTATTGTCGCTTAAATAAAAATTTACTTGTTAATAACAAAAGTAACTACAAATCGATTTTAATTGTAACAAACAAACAAATAATTTATGAAAATTAATTAGCTTCTTTTTCATTTCAAATTAGGATACATCAAGAAACTTATTAATTACAAATTAAACAATTAACAACAATGAAAGTAAACTTTAATTTTAAACGAGACTATTATGATAAATGAATTTAAATACCTTCAACACAGGGTCTAAAGCCGGGTCAAGCTCTTGAGCTACATTTTCCAATAAAAGTGGTTTCCCAAACCGGAGAGCAGATTCAAAGTTCCGTAACAAATCTCTGTCATTAGGCTTACAAATTACTAAACCTTCGATTTTGCCCTAAAATTACGAACAGCGTTTTGTTATAACAGTTTTCATATTAATTAAAGAACTTTATTCAAAGTAATAATGGGAATTGTCCTTGTTACAATTCCGCAAGTTTAAATAAAATTTATTTTATACTTCTACAAAGATATATTTCAGTTTTTTGTATGATACACACCATAGCTCTTATCCACTTATTAGCTTGTGTCTGTGGATCTATGATGAGTGGCCAACGACGTGAGTTGGACATCAAAACAGCTGACTCAACAGAAAGTGGATCGCGAGGTAGTCCGTACATTTGCCAATTTCTAAAAATAAATTATTTATATTAACAAATAGTATGTAATAGTATACTTGGGGGTCGATGGAGCTAAACAAAAATTAAATATTAACGAATAATAACGAGCTTAAGTTCATATAAATAAATAGTCAATTCATAGTCAATTGTGGTGGTTAAAGGTTTTAAAAAATGTCGACTTGTTAAGTCTATGAACACATTACAAGATTTGTCACTTCATTTAATTTCTTAATCTTAGTTTTTTTTGGAATCATTAATTTGTTAATTGAAGATATTTTGTGCTTACAGCCACTTTTCATTACTTAAATAGGGGTGTAGGGATGTAGCAATGTACAAAATAAATGTCCTAAGTATTGGTAGAAAGAAATTTGTACCTAATGACAACTTCATCGCCAAGTATGGAAAGTGGAGTGCCACCTTCAGTATGCGGGACCTTGACCTCCTGTTGAACATTAGAAAATAACAGAATCAGTTGATTCTTGACAACTCCGAAATACCAGTATTTAAGTCAAATAACACAAATTCATTTACCGAAATATGAGTTATCCATTCTGATAAGAGTTCTCTTCTGAATTCATCAGTAAATGGGGTGATATACCCAACAGCACCTATGTCAAAACATAAAATTTAGACTTAAAAATGCAAATCAAAATTATTCTGTGACACAATATAAAATTCATCCTAAAATATCAGAAGATAATACTTATATTTAATTATAGCTAGAAAAAGTATTATAATGCTGTTTAAATTTAAAATAATAAGCTTATCAAAGCGTAATGACATCTTACAGGCACTAAGCATAATATCGCCAATGAGGTTCACTTGAGCGATGTCCAAGTCTTTAATGGTTTTGATCCAACGAACTCTTTCGCTAGATAAACCATTTAATAGTCTGAAAACATAAGTCCATAAATATTTTAATACTAATTTCGCAATTTATTTTTGCATATTAGGTACATATCTTATTTATTTCAGTAAAAATATTAGCCAAAAAATATGATTCTATGTATGACTAATCGAATAAGTTACAACCTGTTAGCCCTATCCATTCTCGCTAGACATTGATTGATATCTTCTTCCATCTTTCGTTTCTCTTCTTCTTTTTCTTGAAGATACGCATTTAATTTTGCTATGCCTTCTAAAAGAGCCTGCATCTTTGCTTTCGCATTTGCCAACATTGCTGCAAAGAATTATTTTATTGTAACAAAAACAACATCTAACATCTAAAAAGTAGGATTTATTCTACTTCAGTTATATTACCTTCAACAGCAGCCAGTTCTTTAGTAGCGCGGTCAAGTGCTTCTTTCTTGGGTGCAACTGCCTTATTTACGTGATAGAATTTGTACATTGCGTGAACCCACATACAAAGAGACATACAAGCTTTTGATACCTTCAGAAAAAAATTGCTTACTTTAAAACCAAACCGAAAGATAAATGAAATAATTCCAAAATTTTCTTTTCTTTCGTACCTTAGAAATCTTCGTTGGTTCGTAACTGGGGTCATTGACATACTTTTTAAGTTTTTTAATCATATCTTCGGTAATCGACTCTTTGTCATATTTCATAAGTGAGTCCAAAAAAGCTGTGGGGTCGGCTAACATTTGGGAACCAGGCTTCCAGTAATTTAGAACTTTTTGTCCAAAAGACGCTCCCGGTTCCTATTTCAATTGGAAATGAAAATTAATGAAATGCTTGGACATAAAATGGAATAGATTATTCTTTAACATGACCATGACCGACCTTAATAGGTTTAATATCAAACACCACACAAAGTGATTCTATAACAAGAACGACTCCTGCAGGAGGTTTCTTCATAGCTTTTACTTCAACAACGTCATTACGATTTAATTCCTGTAACGCCTTTTCAGCCGCTCGAAGCGCTGGCATTGCTTCGTCTGATAAGAAATTTTTTTTACAAGTGACAATTTCACAATTACAGCATGAGAAATTTTGTTCAAAGTAGTCTTAGGATTACCTAGGTCCCTTTGTGCATCTTCAGCCATAGCAGATGTCTCCTTAGCCATAACTTCAGCTATAGCTTGTTCTTTTTCAACTTTAATCCTGGCTTCCTCTGCTATTTCCTGAGAATTATAAAAAAAATATACATACAAAGACATAAACGAATGTAATAAGAGTAGTCAATAATACATATAAAGGCTTTATAATACCGTATCAATGGCTATTTGCTCAATCACTTTTCTAGTCTCCTCTGCTGCCTTTTCCATTAATGGTTTCAGTTCAGCTAGTTCAATTTGTAGTTGCTTAACTTCTACTTCAGTTTGATTTAACTTATTCAAGCCTTTATTAAAGATAGTATCAACGATATATTTAGATAATAAGAGAGGTTAATAATTAGTATGGAAGGTTTGAAAAGTACCATTTTTAAGTGCATAAGATTCTTTCAGTATAGATTTCTGCTTCTTTTTGAACATCTCAGCATAGGCACCCAACATCTCCATGTAGGACATAGGGGTGACATAGTTAAGGCGGTTAAGACGCGCCAAGAAACGAGTAGAGGCGTCTACCACACTTTGATGAGCGAAACAGCAAACTGACTGAAATTTTATTTCTTATCGCTTTAGCAAATTTTTGAAAGTATAACACAACCAGCATTTATAAAATAAGGAACTAAGTAACCAGGAATTTCCAATTATTCAATGTTTATAAAATAATATTATTATAACTTTGAAAACCTTAACACTAAAATATACTTAGAATTGCGTTTTTTCGTAGAGTAAGTTGAATTTTAATATTTTTATATTGATTTAAATTTAATAGTGCTTTCGTATTTGTAACTTACCACCAAAGAATCAATAACTTCATCAGTTGTCTGGAGCTCGGTCATATTATTGAAAAAATGTTTTGCCACAGATTCCAAGGCCGACTTTGGCCATTCACTAAACCAGTCTATAGTACAACAATTGACTAAAGAAGGAAATTGGCGAAGACGAGCTCGGAAAATCTAAAAGATAAGTAATTAATTTGAAATATACCTTTATGACACAGAAAAAAGACTTTATATTCTTGTTATAAGTTACATTTTAATCTATTAAAAAGCGGGAAAAACGGATATATAAAATTTTATTTACTTTGAATTCAAATGAAAGTTAGTCATCTTTAATGAGATGGAAATACTATAACTTATTATAAAACATAACCTAGCAATTGTGTGAGCTAAAAGTTATGTGAAAAAAGAATAAAAATGTACAAACCTCTCCAACAGGACTCATAACAATGACAATATGTAAATTGCTCCTCACTCTACGTTGATAACAAGCGAAGAGGTTTGTTTTAGTAGCCGTTAGATTCATTTCCATGACAGCATGTCGGACTGACATGAAGATGGTGTCAAGGTCTTCGGCTTCATAAATATTAGGAACGTCACCAGAACTTAGAATATTGTTTAGATCTTCAAGGAATGATTCCATTTTAATCTAAAAAATATATATATTTAAATACTCTCATAAACAAATATATTTAAAAACCATAATTATATCCATGTTTATTTGAATTTTGACTGTTAATGTAAACCCAACTAAATGTAATATACATATTTTAATGAATCTTCAATAAAAAAATTTGGCAGAGTACTTCCCCCTTCTTTTGTAATTATTGTTAGACTTTTAAACCACTTAACCTGTGCATCTGAAAATAAAAATACTATTCCCCTGTTTTCAGCGCCAGCTTTCATCATAGTTTGTTTGAGATCATCTCGCCATTCTGACTGTCCGTAAGCTTTTGTTATTTCTATCTGCACGCACTGTAATTCAGCCATGTTTGCCGCTAGCCGGGATAATGACTGACGTCCTGAAAAATGTTATTGTTAAATAAGAACAGAAATATTTCTTTTTGTATTAAATTTAGGATATTAATGAAATTACTTTAAATTTATTTAACTATATAGTATAATTTATATATTTTAGAAGCACTTCACGGACGTCAGTCTTATACTAAAGTGCAAATAATAATAATAAATCTTCCGAGCAAAAAAAGCTATTATTACCAGATCCACCCATTCCCAATAGAAGAGCATTGGCCATTGGCTGTCTCATGATTCTTGCAACACGACACAAATGAGCTACAGCATCTTCGAACAAAACCAGATTCAAAGGAGCCGTGGTAGATAAATTATAATCATCGAGATAGTGAGCTAACACCTCATCCAGCTATAAAAAATTATTTGTTTTATATCGGTTGGTATTTACCAAATTACTATTCCAACTTACCTCTTCTTGATCAACAATTTCAATATATTTTTTATCATCAGTGCCTATGTCCATGAAGTCACCAAACAACATCAATCTACCTCCTATCACCTCAGATGGTTTCTTTTTGAATTCAGTGGTGATCTTTTTATTTAATAGCCTACAGAAAATTTTATCATTGACAAATTTGTTTTGTTTTTGTTTGGAAGTTTTGGATAAAACTAAATATTTTTCAAATACAAACTCACTTAACAAACCAATCCCGATCTTCTGCATTGACCAATCTATCTTGATACACACGTTGGTGTTCATGATACCACAGTCTAATCACATCGTCTTCGTTCTGCGGTATTTTTAGCAATATATTTTTACTTCTCTATTATATATGTATTAAGAGCTTCATACATTTTATACCGTTACCCATACCCACCTTTACGTGATGAGGGTCCAACATCAACATTCCTTGGAAAACCTTACTAAGGTCTCTAAGATTAAAAGTGTAATGTGACTTAGTTGGTGTGGGCAATAATTCTTCGACTAAGGAATTAAACACCTCAATGGAGCTCTTCAAAAATGCATCCTCTCTAATTGAAACATTATTGTCGAAATTACGTGTCCAAGACTTTAAGATCGTGTTAAATATTCCGTACTGGAATTATAGAAATATTTTTTTAGTACATTGTCCTGTAGTCAAAGTCACGTGTTAATAAGAAAATAGCTATAAGTAACAAAAGCGATCTAATATATCATATAAACAAATCGAGCAACTTTTAATTATGTTCCTAATATTAAGAAATCGGTAAGTAAATACATTTTAAAGCTCACCTTGCTATTGTATTCCATTTCAGTGAATGATATATAGTGAAAATGTCGCATTAATCTCATAGTGACAGGATTTCGGCCCCCACCTGGAGGTCCCATTGCTGCCACCATACCCACGTCAACCAAAGTCTTAAACTCACCAATATTTGTACGGTCGTACCAACCTAATAAAATCAATACATACATTTTACAATTACAAATCTTTTCCTTCTAGAATAGTATACGAAAGGTTCACCAAGAATGAGAAATTTCAGTTTTGTATGAGAGGATATTGATTTGAACTCATAGGAATTTAAAAAGAAGGTCAACGTTAATGCATGCATTTCATACATATTAAATTCTAAAATAATTTTGTCTTTAAAAGTATTAAACTGAAATAAGATTTGTTATATAATGATTTAATATACAGAAAGTTATAAATTTGGAATAATATATGGGGCAACGACATCTTAGATTTTTTTACTATTGACTTACAACTTAAAACAACCGGAGGATAGAACGGTTTAAATGTTTTTACATGGCTTAATAAAACATCGTATTTAGAGGAGTATATCTTAAACGTGACTATTTCATTCTTATACTCGTATATAAGTAATAATTATATGATACTATTCATAAATATAAAGCTCAAAATGACTAGAATTTTGTTAGTAAAAATGTTTATATTTGTAGGAAACTGACAAGGAAAACAAACGACTCATAAATACGATTTAACTTTGTTTTATAATATCACTGTTTATGATAGGAAACGCACGAACTAAGACGGAAATTTATCAGCATTCCATGGATTCACCGTGCGGGTGATGGGTCTATCGCGTTGCAGAGAGAGGATCTTTAACAGGACTGGCGACCCAGATGTAGGTTAAGGGGACAATATCTAACGCGCGTTACATGCAGAGTTATTAATTTCTTACCGGAAAAATCCATAAACTGCCGAAGTAGTTCAATTGGAGGCTGGGCACCGTACACTTCTAAGGCAGGCATGTTGAGATCATCTATGAAAAAAACCTGTCTCTTGGTAGGCGGTGGACCAAAGACTCCGCGACGACGACGTTCCAACTTACTATCAATAACGTCCTGTTAAATTGTGTAAATTATTAATTGGATACAGAATTAACATATAAAAACTCTAAGAAAAGACTAGTAAACAAATTATTATCATTATTATTTTAATGTTTTTCCCTAAAATGGTTAGTTCGTATGTAACTTGAAACAAATTACATACCTAATAAACTACCTGGATGGTTATTATTTTTATTCATGTACCTATAGATTAATTATTAACACAAACTCTTTTGTTAAAAAAAAAGTTAATGACCATATGAAATATTTAAGAAAAGTCTACTGTTTATTTTCAAATATTTTTGCCTATATGTTATTAGTTTTGATATTTATAGATAAGACATAAAAATAATCAAAATTCAGACAAAAATATATTTATTTTATGCTTGCATTGTTCCTGTATTCATGTATGGTGTTGATATAACATTAACAACAAGGCCATGACATCAAATCAGTTTACACAGACATCGTTACAAATATAAAATTTTTACACAAAAAAAAAACATTTTCTTTTAATTTAAAATCCATTATAATGATATAAATTGCTGTAAGCGTTAATCATTATACTTACCTGAGTCTGATTAGCAGATGTCCTCGCAGAAAACACCAGGAACTCACAGATAAATTTCTTGTGCAACCCTCGAGATAACTTTGAACTTATCGTCACAGTCTTGCCAGTGCCGGTAGGGCCGACACATATCACATGATTGTAATTTATTATCTTATATCCCAGAATCGCTGCGCTTCTCACATTATCTAGCGTTGGTACCTCGATATCTGTTAAAATAAATATTACTCGCACCTGTTTAATACTCAATTTATATTGAATTTATTTTAATTACATTAATATTTTCTTGACTTCCGCAAGGTTATATACAACATTACATGACTAACTTTATTAAGTGCATAAATATGTTTTTATTGAGCTGTTAGGTGGATGGTGTTACCTGCATATTGCCATTCAGGATCTACTTCATATTCTTCAAGATTTTCCATCCAATTATACCAAAATGGGTTTGCTGGTTCACCATCTTCGGTAGGATCAGTGAAACCGCCATCATGAAGTCTATCGAACACATACAAACCCAATTCAAATAAGAACTTTCACTTCTAGTTACTTTTAAACTTATTATTAATTACAAACAATCAAATCATGGTACGCATTTAAACATGTAAGGAAAAATGTTAAAATTATTCTCACGTGTAGTCATACACCCGCCCTTCCTTGGGAAATGGAGGCTTGGTTTCGTTTTCGGTCATAAGGTTTCTTATGAAATCGGAAAACAATGCTCGACCGTTGTGATCACAAGTGGCTCCCACGGACCATATTAATGACCAGATAACCCAACACGGTGCAAGTCGCGCTTTGTGACAAAGAATTATATTAGAAACATTGCTTGTTAATATTATATAATCGTTTTAACAAATATTATTTGGTCCACTTACGCATGAGTGCTAAAAATGGTGCCCCGGGAGGCGGTCTGTCGTCTTTACCAGTAAGAGGTCTTAATCTATAGTCTAAGAGTTCCAGGAATTTAAGTACTAGGGCCGAATCGATAGAAACAACAATTTCATGACATTTAGATCTCAAGAATGCTAACGAAGGATAGAGATATGTTGTTATGAGGTTGGGAAGAAGCTTTCGGATACTGTCTGCGATCTGTTAATTATATATAATTAATAATAAGTCTGAAATATATTTCTCACAAAGTATTTACAAGATACTAACCGATGGAAGGTTACTTTTCATCCAAGCATTTACTAATGGGGGCAAACCTACAACCTGTGTATCAAGATATACCATCCCGCAACGGGATACAGTTGCTGGCGAAGCCACAGCTAAATCAGCTACTTCGAATATCATACGCTGACGATCAGTTAGCTTCATGATCTCTCCACTTGACAGACATAACTTCTTATTATCATCCAAGACCTAAAAAAACGCAAAATGATGTAGAAATAACTTTCCAATAAAGATCAGAGTACCAAAAATTAATCTTCATTAAAAAAATTATAAAGAAATTTTCAAACAAATATAATATGAAACTTACAGTGTTCATATTTTCTATCCACACAGCGTCGACAGGTCCATCAAACACGTACCAGCGACGATCAGTATCCTCAACTGCGATTCCAGCTCGAACCAGACTTGAAAGAATACCATCGGTCCTATCGAATTGAAATAAATATAAATATTAGCAAACTTAACAACTAAATTAAAAAAAAATCTTCGTGTTTTTGCTAAATTTAACACTTTTATCACTACATATCGTATTCAAAAATCTATTAAAAAGATATTGAACTTGTTGTGCTTTATTATTCATATCTTACCATGGTGTGATCATTATAAATATTTTTACCATTCATGAGTTTGCAAATCAAATTCCCCATACAATTGTCCCATGGTGATAGACTTGGGGTTGACCACTGACGTATGAACCGGAGTAAAAGGAAATCCATCTGGTGCTAACTTTCCCTTTATGGCTGTCAAAGCATCACGTAAGATCTCATAGCACTATGGAAAATATTATAAAAATCATTTTATTCCGAGACTTTCATTAGTATTTTTTTGTATTTTCTTTGCCATGGAAATAGTAATAATAATTTATAAATATATAATTAGATACCTTAGTTTTTCCAACTCCTGCAGGACCAACTAACATGAGACCATGTCGCACTACAGTCGTTTCATATAACTGAATTATTTTGAATATAAAAGCTGTAAAATTTATAAAGGCATTCATAAGACAAATTTTGTGCCAAAAAAAAGACAAAATATTATTGAGAATAACGCACTGTATAAGTCATCATAGCCCCTTTTGATGAGCATATTTCTTATGGACTGTTCCATGATACCATAGTCCACTATCGGAATTTCAACTCTTGGGAACAAATCTGATATAATACCTGTATAAAAAATGACAATGGATTAATATCACTTACGTATGTACTTTTCTTTGCCAATATTTTGAAAACAACATGGGATAATATTCTCGTGACATAAATATGCTTTATAAGGTACTATACCATTGAACAAAACAAGATCATCAGCTAGAAACTTGGGTACATTCACATCTCGTAATGCTCTTAATACTATTTGTCTCTCATCTCCGTCGGGCATCTGACGTATTAGATTACCGGCCACAAGGATTACTGTCTTCACGGCTCGCATACCGAAATCGTAATGCTCCTGTTTGCAATAAATAAATATGTACCTCATCCACAATCCAATAAGGTTTAAAATCGGGAGACAATTGTATTTGTATTTTTTAGCGTTCTTCTTCAAAATAAAAATTAGAAAAACATTGGAACACAGATAGCCTTACATAATTTTTATTACATAGGTATTTGGCAACTTGAAGTAGAAATATTAATAATATAAAAATAAATTCACATAATATCCTTATATACCAGATATTCAATTATAAGCCTTACACACTAAATAACAAACTAAACTGTTATTCAATTAAGTGCACGAAAAATAAGCAATAATGTAAAGTTTTACTGTTGATTAACTTTAATTATGTATATGTGAAACGTTTTAGTTATATCAACATAAATTTAATAGTTTCCCAGCTAAATAAAATTAAGTCTTACCTGAGAGGACAATTGTTCAGAGCTCAATCTAAACGTTGTAGTAATTTTTCCTGCCAGAATCTTGGCGTCGTAGAAACCATATGAAAATAAAGAAATTTCTGCTATAAGAGCGTAGTCCGGCACCATCATTGCAATAGGACGGAACAATGCTTTCAGATTATCTGGTAACTCCGTTCTGCCTGTTTAGAAAGAGAAATATACCCAATGGTTATAATTTTAATATTACTAGTATGACGCCTCTTTATCTTATTTGTTAATTTTAATAAATTTACCCGCATATCCAGGGTTCATAGTAATAAAAACTGAACAGGAAGCTTTTAAGGGAAGCTCACAGCCTTCGAAAATAAACTTTTCCTGACGAGCTATTTGCGCCTTTTGTATCGTCACGACCTTTCAAATGAAATTTAGGTTTTAATAAAGTGAACAGGAAATATGGTTTATGGAAGTTGAAGTGAGTGAGTGGTACATAAATGAAATCAACTATTTCAAAATTATATAATTGTTTAAATGTATTAATGTTTTCGGATTACTACGCGTCTTTTATTATTTTTAAAACTACATACTCCCAAAGATTCGGTTACTTTGCTGCAAAATATACTATGGTATAGAGCGTAGTTATTAAAAATAATAAAATAAGGCGTAATAATCCAAATATTTTAGTGTCATTGTAATGAATACACGCGAAAGTCTTAATCTTATTATATAAATATGTATAGGTACTTGTTGAGCGACGACAGATAGCACTTCAATGTCAATTCTATTAAACTCATCGAAACAAGCCCAGGCACCAGATCTGAAATATTTTCATAATAATTATAAAATTCAGCACAAGTTTAATTATGAGAGTAATAAAAATATATACGCTGCTAGTCCTTTGAAAAACTTTCCCATAGCCATGTAATCGAGCTGATCTGAACAATTGAATACCACACATTGAACAGCCAGTGCTTTGGCTAAATCCTGGAAATAAACAAACTCCACATAATGAATAGAAGACTAGTGTTAACTATATATACTTATACTTAGCTATAACAATTTTTTTTGTTCTTATATCAGCAAAAATTAAAAATAAACCTAACCTTAGTTGTCTCAGTTTTTCCTGTACCAGCGGGACCTGCCGGTGCACCACCGAATTTGAGATGCATTGCGCACATCAAGGTCAAATAACATCTATCAGTTAGCGGCGTGATGACCAGACGACCGCTGAAAAAAACACATATATAGGTAAGTGTCATCGTAGGAGCATAGGATCGCATGAACATAGGCGGTCGAGACAAAATTATTGTTAACCTTGACACGTAATAAATGGTTTATCTTGACCGTTAAATGTTAAGGGTAGGTAATAATTGAAAAGAAATCTATGACATAAATGAGTTACCTATTTCCCAAGTACTCGTTTTGATAAGTGAAGATAGAATTCAGTGCGCGAACGTCACATTTATTCTGACTGAACTGACGATAGTACAATGAAGTGTCTAATCTTTCCTCGTCTTGATATATCTCCGGTAATTCACCTTCCTCAAGCGGTATCATTTCTTTTACGATTTCGTAATACCTGAATGGAAATAAATTCTATTTTAATGTAACAAAGATTCTAAAATCAATTCAATTTCCCAGGAAATATTAATAAAAGTGGCCATTGTATTTTACTGAATGTTTGTTAAAAAAATATTTGCTACGTAGTCAATTATTCTGAAACTAGAAACTTTCAAAAGATTAAATAAATTCTTTTCAATTGCGGTCGATCATATTGTGTTTAAAGTCTAACTAAATGAATAAAAAATATATATTTAAATTATTAGAAAAGCCTTATGAAGTCCGATTAAAACCATATCAAACTAACGTTCCAAATTCCTTTTTATAAACAAAAAATCAATATTACCTCAACTGACATATCCATTGGAAGTCAGTAACATTCTTGACGCTTTCATCAACTAGTGTCTTTGTAACATCACGAGCATGCACTTCGATAACTATCAGGGCACATAAAACTTCGCGTTGGAAGAAAGTTAGTTCACCTTTAACTAGGGCACGAAGACTATCCAACTATTGAAAAATTTTGCTTATTAGGTGCTTCAGTATAAAGTAATATCTAAATATATTATGTGATTATATTTCTTTTTGTAGAAAAAACTTCGTTTTCCTTAGAATGCATCGGTAACACAATATTAAGATCTCTCTAATTCGTTACCTGTTTGAGCATTTCCTCAAAGTATTCATCCATTCTGTATTCTGATATAGCTTGTTCAACTCCCGCTGTCCAAGCTGTTTGTGATCCCGCAATCACAACCTGCCCCGGCCATCGCAGTACCCACTGATCACGAGGTAACTGCCATAGTTCTACCATTGAATCCACCAAAGTCAGACGGACTAAGAATGAAATACAATTATTTCATTAATTATCATACATACCCAATATGGCAGATAGTTTATGTAGTTCAACATTTATGTATGTTTCTATATTTCTTTGATACATTCATACGTGATAATTTTAAGCTAAAAAGGTAATTGGATTTCTCTTAGTAGTGAATATGACTGTACAATCACCTTTTGTACTTTCCGTACAGATGAAAATAAATATATTATATGCATAAATTTATAAAATAAGAATAGAAAAAATTCAAAGATTTAATGGGTGATTTATTTTTAAAATGTTACATATAGATAGATTCCAAAACGATCGGTAGAATTATTTGTCTTTCTATTAAATAAAATAATATTAACCCATATCAAAAAGACACTATAAAGTATAATAAATCAATCTCGTCTCACTTGTGTGTCGCATAGTGTCTTCTAGTAGAAGTAGCCACTGCTCGACATTTGAAGTAGGATAAAATTTGTACTTCAACTCCACGATTTCACCTTCACTTGAATGCATTTGAGTTATCTTTAGATCCGGTTCAAATGTTACCTGACGGTATTATATACAAAGAATAATAAACCTTATATTAAAACCAATTATTTCTGTTCACTAACATACTATACATCAATGTTTTAATTATTATAACTTAATTATTTATGTGCCAAAAGTAGAAATATGTAGTTTCATTAATATAAAAGAAATGTAATGCAGAAAGAATAAATAATATCTTAAAAGAGATATCTAGAAAATAAATGTGGTATAGTACGGTAAAAAGAGAGAAGGAAAAAAAGAGATATGTATATTTATAAGCAAAGAAATGAAATTATAATGATAGAAATATAGATATTAACATAAATATGTATAAATTGTATAATAAATAAACATACACATTACACATCAGAAGACAGATATAATTAAGTACCTTAGCAATATTCTCGAAGCATTTTCTAAGATGGGGTTGCACTGCTCTTGGGTTGCGAGATTGAGATAATATTTCCAGCAATTCATCATCACTAAGGAAGAAGAATCTCGGGAACCGTACTCGTTTAAGTTCCATATATTCATTCAGACCTCGTGATACAACAGCCAGTAAATGACGAGCTTCAACCAAGCTGTCTAGAAGACGGCTATCCGGACATATAATCATTATCTGTAAACAAAATGAATACATTAAGAGTAGTTATAAAACTAAGGCTACATTTACACATGCTTATTTTAAGCAACACTTGGACACTCATGCTAGTAAACAGCACGTACTCAAAGCATGCTTTCGTGTTTGAAATAAGCATGTGTAACAGTAGCCTAATATTTCAAACATTTCACATGTTAAGATATCACGAAGGATTTAAAAAATACTATTAATATTTAAACTCCACCGCACTCCACTTATAAAGTTTAAAACTCGTTTGAAAGCTTGCCAAATACAGTTATGAAAATAAACCTTTGGACATGCTACTGCCGATGACATAATTCGTCTCCATATTCTCTCCATAGTGCCGTACTTTTTAGCTTCAAGCGGTAATTGTCGTGATATATCTTCAGAAGTAAATATTGGCTCTAAATACATCCACTCCCTTTAAATAATATAGATTATGGTACACAATGTCTGCAATATAATAATATCTATAAAGAAATACTTTAAAACATACTTTTGACATTCAATCCATTCGTCAACAACTTTTTGTGTAAGCCGAAGCTTATCATCCCATTCCTGTATTCGTAGCTCGAAAGCTGCTTTGAAAGGACTGAATCCTAATTGTTGTGTAGTTAAAAGATGTTCATCCAATAATTGGAGAGTTTCGTCAGCAATCTTCATTATGAACGTGCCTGTAAATTAGATTATAGACGCTTGATAAGTATTTAAATAAACGGTTACTTTATTAATTATCAACTGGAATGCTATATGTACAGTTCTACTTAGAAATATTTTAGGACAATTTATTTAAATGCCTATCTAAGATATTGGCCCAACACAAAAAAATGACATGAGGCTATATATTTCGAATGTTCTACCAGTGTTTTTATATGGAGACACTTCCATCGTCTTGGCCGCCCAGTCGTTAAGCATTTTATCGAGTGCCTGTTCTATGACGTACTCCTTGCTGGCTAGTTCACCAATCTCAGCAATCAATTCAGCATGTTGAGCCACTCCTTGCTTCAGACACATTGCGAACGTCTGTTTCTCGTTCATTGTTACCGTTATACCTATATTTCAGTGTAGATATTATTAAAATATTATTAAAATAAAAATTTTGTTTTAATTCAACCAGTCACTTAATTTGATATTTGTACGAAAAGATTACCACATTAATTGAATTTCAAAAATGAAAATAAGTCAATCATGGGTTCTGCTCCTTCAAGAAGGTCTTGATGTAACCAGAGAATACGAAGACATTATTATATAAAATAAATATAACAATATCATTTAAATAAATAAATTCCTTTTAAAACTATAGCTTTAATTCAACTGAATTAGTGTTTTTTTCACCAAAGATTATTTGCATTGCTTTTAACTGTGACGCATAAAATGGTACAACACGTTAAAATAAAGCTGGGAGATGAAACGTTACAAAATAACTTATATATGAATGTTACATACCAGCTTTTTCCATGAATTCATTCCAGTGTCGTTCTTTCATTCCAGGATTCCTAACAGCTTGGATAACTGGTATCAACGGTTTAAACTCGTCCATATCATCCTGTTAACAAAGGTATAATAATATTATAGTAATATTGTCAACAGTCACTACACACATTGAAATAAGGTCCAAATATCTTTATGACAGATCTTAGCTATTTTGTTTGTAAAATTATATTTTCAATAGTTTTTAAGAAAAGTAGTCTTTGAATGTTTAAAAGTACCAAATTCTTATTCATCGTTATCACACTATTTGTATGTTTGTAAAAGTCACTGAAGAATGTGATTCTACTCTTTAAAAAAATCCAAGGATCTATTAAAAATGGAATAATTCTGGTTCAAAAGAAACGACTTAGTCTATAGCTTTAGACCCAGTTTCACCAATCAATGTTTGTTTAGTTTAATCATGGCATTCAATAATCAACCTTCAAAATTATAAATGTCTGTTAAAATATTTACGTCCCACGATGACAAATTAACAACGCATTATTAAACGTCATGTCAAATGACCGACTACCGACAAGTGGAAACTATAGCGTTTAACATTTGCCACGATGCACCACTTTATACTTTGATTGTATATATCCCTCGATACGTCACTTGTAAGCTAATGCGGCCAAATTTTATATATCGTTGGTTGCATACATTTAGCACACAAAAAGCTTTCTTTTCAATTTACTAGGTGTTACTTGTCAAAATCGTGTTGTCAATAAATTGTGTTATATGTTATTGTGTTATAAATATAGACATAAATTGAGTTCAAATTATAAGAAATAAAAAGAAAACTTAATTTGCAATGGCCTAGAAAAGCTGGAGGCAAAATCATCATACTAAATGAAATTTTAATTCACTTTATTAATAATAAGGAAATAGTCGAAACTGACAAAACAGATGACGTTACTATGGTTACAAGAAATCAGGGCTGTGATTGGACAATTGAGTTTTGACAATGCCATTAACATTCGGTTAGCCATTAGACGGAGCTCCAGAGCAGGAATTAATATTAGTGGCTGATTAAGACATTTAAACGGACATTTGTGCCTGGTGGGACGCTCGATACATCTAACAGAGCATCAAACGCCTTAACACGATATTACTTATTAACAATGATTGGTGAAACTGGGTCTTATACTATTGAAAACAACAATATAAATTATACATTATGCATATTTAAAATATTATGAATAAGCTATTCAGTTGTTGTTGTTCATAAGCTATTCAGCTTTCTTTTCTAGTTTATTCTAATAATAAAATTATTTGGTCATGTTTTTCAAATTATCTTTGAACTACTGATGAATGTTCAATTGATTTCTTTGAACTAAATTGAAAAAAATTCTACATGTACATTAATATAAGTAGATTACAATACGTAAGTAATAATAAAAATATATATGTTCTAAAGGAATACTTTTAAAGCTGTTGATACAATATACAGAGAAACAGTTATTCCAAATATTAAATAATACCCGTATTGTCAGTGCCACTTGCTGTACTTTAGGAAGATCGGCAAACACTCGAATACATTTAATAATAGTTTTGTAGTAGTCATTAACTAAAGGTTCTATTGAATCTGCGTCCACATATATGAGAGGATTATCAAACCATACTTCACGAGCCTTGAGGAAATCTAAATAAGAAATAGAATTAATAATAGATGTTATAATGTAAAAAAAAACTTTGCAAAGTAATGAGGCAGTAAATTTTTACTAGTTTTATTGATTGTAAAACAACTCAGTGCTCATATCCATATTTAAAAGATTTTTTTTGTGCACAGTTTCATAGTAATAAGGTAATTTGAATTATTCTATACAAAAGACAGAATAGATGTTACGATCTATTAAATCTCAGAATTTTATATTATTGTAATGGTAAAATCATATAGCCCAACTCTTTACAACCAAACAACTTAATAATGCAACAAATTTGTATCATATAAAAACTTTAAATACACAAAATCAAGGCCTTATAAACAACACTAGATACTTGCCAGAAGCAGTGACCCACAAATTTCTGTATGGTTCAAATTCTTTCACTAATCTATTGAGATCCGCAAAAGGTACAACTGGCTGTCCAAACAACTTCTGTCTTTGATTGAGAACTCTTCCCCAATCTTGTGATTCCTTCATACCTTTCCAAGCTTTCTTTATGTCGTTTGCTATTTCATGTATCTAAATATATATAAGTAATATATTATTGTACTATTTTATATAGTTATTTTCACCAATTTTTTAGGCACACACTGTTTTACATGGTCGATAAAACTGATTGATACATTTTACACAGCAAAAAAATTCAATGAAATATTTATAATCAATAGTAGCTTGAGATGAAGAGAAATCTTAATAGAATTATACCTTTGCAAAATCATTCTGTAAGGTTAGCGCCATACACTGAGACGTAAACATATCAATTTTGTCAAACAATGTCTGTTCATCTTGTTGATGGAGCTTCCAAAACTTCTCTTGTTCTTCTTCAAGAAAATCGGTTGTTGCATCCATCTAAATATAAAATTAACATACAATATTTAAATAATCTTTGTTATTTATAAAAGAATAAAATCATAAAATATATTAATTATTACTTGTTTGGTAATATTTAAAGGCCACCCGATAGCCTCCCACAAGCTTCTGAAGTCTTCATTTTCTAATGGCGTGAAAAATACATCAAGCACTTCATAATCCTGAAAAGATGTTAATTTTTTTGAATAGATATATAAGTAGCATTTAAAAAGTTTTTAGGGAATTTAGAAAAAAATATATCAGACCAACAATTTTAATTTTAGGACTTGAATATGAAACCCATTTCCAAAAAAGGGTTCGGTACCGGAAAGCTAAGATATCTTCACTCAACTTGCACCGAAAGATTTTTTTTCAAGCGAATAAAGAAAAAATCTAGTTGTATACTTACCGTATGCACTTTCTTCATTATGTCATCTTGAGTCTTTAATGAAAATGGTATAGACTCCATCCACTCCCGTATTTCAAATACGTGTTCAATAGTGTTTGGCTTCTCTCCAAGTTTTCTCATAATGTTTTTGTATGCTTGTATAACGTCTTCAACAACAACACGGACTTCCTCTGCCCACATTGTTAGTAGCGCCTTTATGATATCTGATCGTTTTGTTACCAACATTTGCTGAAACAATGACAATATATAGAAGTTAAGTTAAATATAAGAGTATATACATATATATAAATAAGTCTCGTATTTTACTAAGGTAATTCCTGCCAACCTTTAGAGTGTCCACGTTTATAGCGAATGGACCAATATTAATATACTGTGGTAGACGCCAAATCAAATCTTGCTTAGCATCATAATGAGTTTGAATTTCTTCTCTAGTTTCCGACGCGCTGTGCTTCTCTTGACGAAAATTCCTTTTAAAATATTTTTGTATTAAATTACTACAAATTTTATAATAAAACAAAACTACTAGAATCTCAAACTATACAAATGATATTTGAAGTGAAACTTCTTTAGGCGAATGAGGCTAAAATTCGCTGTGGAGTGAGAGTACGGAGCAAGCAAGTGAAAAAGATTAAGAGAAAAAGTAAGACAGAGTGAAGGTCGTATTACGTTTTAGATTTATATAAATATAAACAAGATTTATAAATTAATTCACGAAAGAAGTTTCACTTCTGACATGTGTACTTTGTACGCATTTTTTTTTCTACAATATACAGCTTTTATTTTTTTTATATCGAAAACAAGGCAGTGTTTTCAAAGATTTATTGACAGTTTGTTTATGATTGAACAAATGAATTGTTCATGTGTATTTTTATCTACTATATTAACTAGAGCACATTTTGGGACTGCCAAATCTTAAACTTCCTAAGTTGGTTTAAATAACAATCGAAAATTTGATTTACCTGTTAGAAAACAGGAAAAAAAATTGATAATTTTAGAACATAATAGTATCAAAATCATTAAATTTTCTTTTATAAATCATTTACACAATCATATACCGTAAAACAAAAAAGAAAGAAAAATGCCACTAGTAACAATACTGATTTTGTTACATTTTATATCACGATTTTCAATTTGTTCAACTCCTTTCGCTAATTATAAACAATATAAAATTAAACAAAGACAGGGATAAAAATTCAAAAAGTGGAATTCATAACACTTAATGAAATCTACGATTTTCGCGATTATTTATTTGAATAAAACTATGCGTTTATTTTTTATTTTAAAACTATGTACATACTCCCGATTTTTTGATTTCTGCATAGCAATAGTTTTATATGAACACACTTACTCAACGTATTCCTCAATATCCAACATATATATGTCCTTGTAGCAGTCGTATTGATGCATGTAAGCTATTAAGGGTATTATCGCCTTCCTATAAGCCTTCAACAGTCTGTCTCTATATTCGACGACATTCGGTTCCATTAATCCTATAATTATTTAATTTTAAATCAATTATAATATAAATTCATTATATTATATTTAATTTTAATAATGTATACTTCTTGTAACAAACCTATAGAAGTAAGGAAGAGCTCCTTATCAAAGACGAGTCCAGTCATTATTTTAGGATGCACTTGAGGTATGAAATGACATCTGTACAACATTTCTCTAAACAGACGTTGGATCACGATCTATTTAAAAACATATATCAGAATATAGATTTATAAATTGATTCACAAAATCTTTAATAATTACCTCAAATTGTTCTGGTGGAGTGGTATAATAGGGGCCATCGGCAGACATCATTAGATGAAAGTAGAATAATGTAGTAGGAGTTCTAAACGGAGTGTTTATGAGATCTTTTGGGTCCCATTCATAATCATCTTCGCACCAATATGTGCAAAGACAAGGTGTCTCACACAGGGCTACGAACATGGCCATCGATTGCTCCAAACAGTATCTTAGCGCGTACTGTGAATACCAAAATATTTCATTAAATATACTATTTATTTTCGTCTTATTTAAAAGAAGATTTGAACAATCTTGTCGGAATCGTCTTAAAATTTTTACAGAATTCATGTATTATTGTATTTGTAAAAATGTATATCTTTTTATTACAATACATCCAACTGACGTAAGTGACTAGAACTGCCTACCTACTATTACAATTATTAAGTATATTAGCAAATAATTTAAATATCATTTACCTGCATGCGAAATCTCACCAACTGCATGAATCTACTAAGCTTACTTATACCGTAGAAATCCCATTTCTTTTCGTAGATATTAAACCATCTATAACATTTAATTTCATTATAAATACTTATATGACATGGAACATAGAAAAATAATATATTTACATCATAAATAATCAAGATCTATAAAGATAAAAGTAAAAAAACAATTACCCCTTGCCCACGTCTCTGTATGACATTCGAATAGCGTGTGCAGTAGCATTTAACCATGTTATGTTTAGATATTTTAACATCTGTATGAATAAAGTTATTCAAGATAATTGAAATAAATAATAAGGTACTAGACACATAGACATATGTATTAGTATGTTTGTATAGTCGTATCACTTACCATTGAGGTGCAATGCTGTTGAGCTGCGTCAAACTCCGCAAGACTTACGTTTCTGCCATAGTTGGACGTGAAAAACAACATACCCTCCACCTATATTGAATCAATATTAATATACACGTTTATATATAGAGAATTCTCGACATAGTAATCATATTATAACCTTAAGACACTCCTCCACAACCAAATGTATACAACTGACAGACTCCGTGAGTACGTAAAGAGATTTCCACTGATTAAACTTCATACGGTCATCAAAATCTACCATATCACATGGATAGCGACCTTAAAGATTTGTGAATTAGTTTTATATTAAAATTATTTTGTTTCAATAAATAAAAAAGCAAAAACTCACCGTAATCTGGAACAGGAGCTACATAGTCTTTGCTCGGAGGATCAATGAAGTTGTATAAATTCGGGTACATCTGCATCGTGTGAATGATTTTCATCTTACCCTCGATTTTTCTGTATAAGAGTTCAGCCTACAAAATTGCATTATGTCAATGTCAAATGTCAAATTAAATTTCAATACATTTGAAACATTGAACTACATACATATACATATGTATCTAGATTAATATATAAAAAAATATAAATAATTTCTAGATTTATTTTAAGATATAATCGTAAAATAAAAGGTAAACCTCTTGTTTCAATGCGTTTAAGTGATCATTATCAACACTTTTTGCGCTTCGGTGTATAAGTACAAGTGCTATTATCTTCGGCATGAAACTCAAAGGCATCCTTGGTAGACCATCAAGTAGGAGGCAATCCAAATATAGATAAAATCTAAACAGAATATCACGTTTAACAATCGATATAGTTCTCCTAATTAATATCAAAATCTTCGAAGGTGTAACCTTAAATTATTCTCTACTTCTTTCCGCAAATTTACTGCAAATTTTACTCTCTCTGCAAACGTGTCCGGATCATCGGCTTTAAACATGAGACGGATTCGTGGTATACTGCAATTAAAATATATATTTTAATACATTCATTATTATAGTATTTCATTAATTAATTCATTAAATTTTACTTGAAGTATCTCTTTGTTCCATCCAACGCCATTACTTCCCATTTATCAGTATTTTTGTCGTAGCTAAATGCGGCAACGTTTGTCCACTACAAATAACGATATATTTTTCATTTTAAATAACTTTAAATTTTTACTATTAATTCTCATGATCGGGCCAAAAACAAACTCCCCCACCTCATACAAGTTGTTAAGCATTTGCAAAAGGTCTGAAGACGGTTTATGGGGTTTTCCATCTTGTTTCGGTATAAAGGCTAGCCCTGGACAGGGATATTGTTCACCTTCTATAAAACCAAGGCTCAGCCATTCTTCTGGAATTCTATAAAAAATCCATAATCATTTATATAGCAAGAGACAAAAATCATTTGTATCCTGTTACAAATTTGAAAATACCATACGAAAGGGCTTTACTTACCTACAATCAAAATCGGTGTTATCAAATAATTCCAGGTCCATTTTTGGATATGGACTATATAGACCATAATATTCTTCATCCGAAACAGGATATTCGGATGGAGGCATTAAAACAAAAGGTTGTACACCACGTTCTCTTAACATTTTCTGGTGAAAAACATATACATATACATACTTCTTCTACCTGGCAATTTCCCAGCTTTAGCCAGGGTCTGCCTTACATGTTGTGAATAGTTTTGGCTAATTGTTTTTACGACCGCCCGCCTGCCTGACATCAACCCTCTATAGGAATGCATTAATCAGTGATGTCTAAATACTCTTAGAAAGTACATATGACTCGGAAAAATCAAATTGGTACTTGCCAGGATCGGACCCGCGCTCTCAGGCATGAGAGGCGGGCCTTTTAACCACTAGGCCACCACTGACTATATATATATATATATACTTCTAGATTTATTTATTACTGAAGCATACGTTTATATATATCAAAATAAATAGATTGAGATAAAAGAACTTTAATAAATTTGTTATGAAATATCTATAGGATTGAAATAAAACATATGTATGCATTGTACCTTAATATTTGCAGCAAGAAATTTCCTCCGCAGTCTTTCAATTTTAACAAGTCTGGGAAGTTCTTTTGGCAAAACAACGCTCAGAAATTGTAGTTTCGGAACAAACGTTTCAAACGGAAATTGCTATGAGATCAAAATATTTCTTTTTATTAAAATTCTATTCAAGTTTTATTAAATTGAACACGATTTTTGTGAAACTTAAAAAATATTATTATTATCGTTATAAGAATAGTGAATGAACTGAATAAATTAATTAATCCATACATCATTAAGAAATTAAATCTGTCAGAAACGAAATCACATCATACCTACGCGGCTTATTTTAGCTTTTCTTTGAATATTAAAAACAACTTTTTTCTTAAGAACAAAATCATCTTTGAAGCTAGCAATACAAAATTACTACATATATCTTGAGTACACATTATTTTACTAACAACACTATCATCTTCACTGTAGGTAGTCCACCTTCCGGGAGGTAGTAACAACTTAGGTTTTTGTGGTTTGGCCAATGATGTCACCATTGGCGCTAGTTTATCTGTTTTTGCCTGGGAAATAGATTATTATTTTAACTCTTTGTATAATTCATTTTTTAAACAATAATTAAGAATTCAGAAGAAGATACTATATTGGAGAAACTGATTTGAAGTAGCCTTAAACTTAATTTGATTGCGAAATAGATTATTGGGAATTACCTACAAGCCTGTCTTTGCAATATCGCTTCATTTATGAAAAAATGAATGTAGTGATAATAATAAATCATTTTCAAACTAATTAATATATTTATAAGTTGGTTTTCAAAATATTATAGCCCTACGAACTATAGAACCAAGATTAAAAACAGTTATACTCGTAAAAGTATTGTGCAAAGGTTTAATAGCTTATATATATATATAAATTAAGGCAGTAAATATGTACTTGTAATAAAAGTTTCATTCTTTTCTTAGCAAATACTTGTTTCGCTGTATGTTCCTTAGTCATATCGGACACCAATTCGGAGTAATATCCACGTTTTGGTATCAAATCTCTGTCCGTGTTATCGTAAACTACATCTTGCCGTTTTATCTTTTTCTTTTTGCAATGCATTATTTATATTCTTTTATTAAATATAATGAATCAATTTATTTTCAATATGTTATTATATTTGAAATAATATTTTCACTATCCTGTCATTAAAATGTTTTTTATATTACTACCAGAGTCAATTAAGTATGTTTCATTACTAAGGAGTTTTAATTTCTTATAAAATAAAATCTGGGATATCTCATTTGTTTTCATTTATTTCTACCTATTAGTTTGTGTTTTTTCACCTATTTCGTACAATCAATATATATTAAATATTAAATCCTACAGATATTATAAATGTGGAAATTTGTGAGGATGTATGAACGTTTGTTGATCTGTCACATAAAAACTACTTAACGGATTTTAATTAAATTTTACAGTAATATCACTTCGACATCCTTATAAGGTTGTGTACTAATAATTTGTTCGAGAATAAAAACGTTGAAATTGGCAAAGTATTCCAAGATTCCAGTGCGAATGAAGCCATAGCATAAAAAGGTAGCCATTGTACAAAACCACAAACTAAGTTTACATTAATATTTCGAAACAAGAAAAATTAATAGCCAATTGTAGCTTTTTTTATTTAACAATATTTACTAATAATTTTTTTTTCTCTTAACAACATATTATTGAACGATAACAACAATTATAAGCCATATTAAATATTCACAGGAAAAAGCTTGCATCATATCCTTTATAATGAGACGCGTAAAATAATTGATACATAAAACGTAATTTTTATCAATAATATAATATAAATAAGAATCCACACGTATTGAATTATCTGGAATGTGTAATACAATTTTTTATTATAGATTTTCAAACGATCTTCTCTGTAACACGACAAATAGGATGGACTATATAATAAATAGTCCTCATAAAGATACAAATTGCTTGAACGGTGCTCCACAAAGTGATCCAATATTTCTAGTCTTGGTGATATTTCTGAAAGAGCTCACTATAGTTTTAGTTCTTTAATCTTACGAACTTAACAAAAGCTTTTCAAAATTGAAGTATTAAATTTCTCATTTCAAAACGCATTAACTTCTACGTTCATAAATTGAGAAATTTTTGTTTCAGTTTTGAAATTAAATAATTTTTAAATGCTTTTTGAAAATGTTTGACTTTGGATATATGTATAATAGGAGAATTCATTCACTGGGTATGTGTGTCAATGAAGATTAAAAGAAAGGTGACGTTTCTAGCAAACCTCTTTCAGAATAGTATGTACTTTTTTATATAAGAAACCAAAAAATACATTCAATCAAAGTAAATCATCTTTAATGTTAATGAAATTCAAAACAAGATCATTTTAGGTTTTGGCGTGGATATATGAAACTAACAACTGAAATTTGTTAACAAAATCTATTTATCTTCTTCATAATAAGAAATTATATAACAATATATTATAATTAAGCAAATCAAACCTTAAAATCATGATTATAAAACATTTATTAGAGTGTCTGTTAAATTTTTATAACCATTCCCCACGAAATGTTTGAAGTTTTTTTCTGCATACAGGCGGTCCTCGACTTACGTCGTTTCGATTTACGTCGTTTCAAGTTACGTCGAACAATGTTTTGACACTATTCCTCAAGCATACGTCATTTGTTTCGATTTCCGGCATATCGGAGAATTCACTTGTCGCAAGGTCAATGTCCGTGAGGGGCGCTAACCGTTTGCCTGACATTGCAGTTACTACTGATGATATTGAGGATCTGTTAAGCTCACATTCGCAAGAACTGACTGATGAAGATCTTATTGAATTGGAAGCACAAGTACAAAAGGAAGCACTCGAGTCACAGGAAATAGCTCCTTCTATTAGTGACTCTGAAAAAGAACTTACACTAAAAAAACTTTCCGCAGCCTTTGCAAATTTGAAGAATGCCATGAAAATTTTTGAAGAAAATGATCCTAATTTTGAGAGAAGTTTTAACGATAATAACAAAATTTGTGCAGCCTATCACTGTTACCAAGATCTGTATGATAGCAAGAAGAAAGAAGCCAAGCAATCTAGAATTGATAGTTTCTTTAAGCCAAAAGTTTAATTTATTATTTATCATTACATATGTATAAGTTTTATAGTTATTATTAAAATTAATAACACACAAATACCAAAAATAACTAGCAATTTCATAAGTGCATAATATATAATTATTTTAAGAACTTACTTTTAATAATAAAGTACGTCCTTTGTTATAAATGCAGTTTTTTTTATTATTTCGAGTCCGTGTGGAACCTAACCCTTGAGTTTTACATGTAAACATATGAAAAAATATGTCTCGACTTACGTCGTTTCGATTTACGTCGCGTATTTCAAGAACCTAACATGCCGTAAGTACGAGGACTGCCTGTATAAAGGATTTGAATCAGTATTACGTTCCAAAGTTACTCGCAGTAACGAGGTAGTCATAGGGAGATGACGCTCAGATCTGTATCTCTAAATTGGATTGCCTTGAGCGAATACACAAGAAGCTTTGTAGAAAATGTTAATACATTCCGTAACTTTTTTATGAAATAAGGACCAAACGAGAAGACGGCCTACTTACGGAATTAGTCACCTTCTCCCATGGACATCTGCAACACAAGGGGTGTTGCGGATGCGCTGCCGGACTTGTTTGTGGAAGATACACCTAGTCTGAAAAATCCTAACACATAGTCTGAAAAATCCCATGTTGTAGGCGAGAGATCGTTCCACATCCTGCATGTGTGGTTTTAGATGTAGGGAATGATGGAATGATGATAGTCCAACAACAATTCTGTTAGAGAGCAATCCCCCTTGTCACAATTCAGGGTCTGGTTTTATGTGTCACTGGCATGGGATACAGTATGGTAACCAAACCGACTCTTTGTTGCAAACTGATTTTCACTCCGGTCCCTCACTGCGACACTATGAACAACCGACGAACTTTGTTTCAACAATTAAGTGTTTGATTTTACTTGCGAGTCGAAATAAAACTAAACATTTTATTCATTCTATTAAGATATAATTTTCAGTATATCATAAAAGCATATTAATTTTCTCGTAATGAGAGATTGGTATTTCAAAGAAATTAGCCGACTGTAGAATAAAATTCTTGCGTTTGTTTGATTACCACATTGATATGTACTACAAATAAATTTGTTTACGCTTTTAATACACGAATATGTCTTTTCACTAAATTCGGCACACTTGAATCTCTCTATAAGAATATGTCTTTACGAACTTTCAATACAGGAACCGGGAATACACATGAGTAATATATATAACTTATTTTTTCAAAGGCCTTTTGATACACGAACAGGGAGTCTGCAACATAAAAAACATTCATGATTTACGTGTTTCGAAGAATTCAATCACGCTAACACATTATAAAGCATGTATATAATCAATTTAAAACATATTAAAAAGAATATAAAAGAAATATGTATTTTCAATACCACATTATCATACATATGTATGTATTAACTCTGCCGAAATACGACTAAGTCCAAAACGCTCATCGCGACGTACATATTTGTACTGAAACAATATGTTGTAATACATATATGCGTTACGAATAGATCGAATACTTTATTATTTTACAATTTTTAATAGAACTCATGCATATAAACGATATATAATGATTGAAACTTTATAGAGATGAAATAATTTTAATATCATACACGAAAATTTTCAGTCAATACACGATCAGCCGAAATAAGACTAAGTCCCAAATGTTCATTTATGTTACATACAATATTTAATCATAAAATATTACGTTTTCTTTATATTTTAAGATTAATAGTATTTAAATGTATAATAATATGCCATTTATACATTAAAAACGTTCAAAATTGGAATTTATAAAATTTTTGTAATACACGAACCGGTCTCTGAGTTACCGAATGTCAATTTCTCGCCCTCGCATATATATAGGGGTAGCGATGTGGGTGCAGTCGCTACGTGTAGGTAGGTAGGGCGTCGATGAGAGTTTTGGTTTATAATATGGAAATACCGTTCTTGTGATGGTTGATATAATATTAATATTTATCTTTTTGATATATGATATATTGATTGATGACATTAAAAAAAATTGTTTTTTTTGTTATTAAAATGTACGGATATTTAATAACGGTTCGCTATATAATTTTGTTCCTTAATCCACTTCATTCAATATAATTTCTACTATATTGTTTTACTTTGAAATTATGAAACAATTTGGATATTCGATTACTTGTTCACTGTTTATTTGGAACGATTTTTTTTTTATTTCAAATAACTACACTACTTTAATTTTTTTTTTAAATGGAAACCTTATCTAAATGTCGGCAAAATGCACGACTTAATTTTCTTATATACAATTATTAACGGGGTAGTTAAGAGTGAGTACCTTCTGCCGTACATTGACATCTCAGTACCCGTTAGACCTCCCAGAAAGGCCTATTTATAAAATATTCTATACAGCGGTCTCTCGCACCAACATTGGCAAACACTGTCCTATAAATAGACTTTGTTCCAAGTACAACAAAATATGCTCTAAGATCCCGCATTTGGACGTATTTGCTTATGCCTTGCCCAATTTAAAAATAAAATCCATCAAATAACATCTTAATTTCTATGATTTATATACATTTTTATTTTCTTTTTCTTGTAATTTTGTATATTGTTATTTTATTATAAGGTAGACAATAAGTTTTTTTTTTCTTTTTGTGAATGTTGTGTACGTCTGTAATTGTCACTCATATCAGGTCCCCTAGATTTATCAATTTTATCTGTTGTTTATGTGTGTTGAATATGTGTGATGTTGATGTACCTTTAAATAAATAAATAAATAACTACATATTTTTTCTTTATAATACATCATATCCCTTATGCTTCACGTCTTTTCTGATGACGTGTCACAAATCCGCTATTAGTTACATCAAAATTGTCAAACCCATTTTTTCACAGCCGTTATTTCAATAATTGGGTTTTGAAAAGATCGTATAATTATCCCTACTAATATTGTAAATGCGAAAGTAACTCTGTCTGTCTGTCTGTTACGCTTTCACGCCCAAAC